GACACGCACGCGCACCACCCCGACCCACCACGCCCCCACGCTCGCCGCCACCCACCCACCCACCCACCGTTGCCAGCCAACCACCACCACAACCCATCCACCACCCAGCCGTTGCGGCGGCGAGGGTGGGCGGGCGGCGGCGGGGAGGGTTGGGGGGAGGGCGAGGGGTGGGGTCCAGTGGAGGCGGTGGGGGAGGGGGGCGATGGGGGGTGTCCATGGGGGGGGGGGGCACCGCCGCGATGGCCAGTCGATGGAAGCGCCAGGGGGTTGTGGCTCTGCGAACAGCCGCCTTGATGACTTTTGATGGGGTTCTGATGGGGGTCTGATGGCCGTGTCCGCCTGGGAGGTTTTCAGGCATGACTTTTGATGACTTTTGATGGGGGTCTGATGGCCGTGTTCCCCTGGGGGGTTTTCAGGCATGACTTTCGATGACGTTTGGTGACCCGTGATGCCCTGTGCTCGGCGCGGGTGATGACTTTTGATGACTTCTGATGACCTTTGATGACTTTTGATGACTTTTGATGACCCTCGGTGGAGGAAAAAGGCGATGACTTTTGATGGGGGTCTGATGGGGTTCTGATGACTTTTGATTGGGGTCTGATGGCAGTGGTCGCCTGGGAGATGTTCGTGCATGACTTTTGATGACTTTTGATGGGGGTCTGATGGGCGTGTCAGCATGTGAGGTTCCCAGGCTTGACTTTTGATGGGGGTATGATGGCTTGCGCGGCGGGTGCCGCGAGGCCACGTAGCGGGTGCGATGGGCACCGTCCCGCCTCGGTGGTCCGCGCGGCACAGCGGCGCTCTCGCGGGCGCTGGCACTGGGCGGCGACAAACAACGCTGATGGGCTGTCGCAGGACCCCACGCGAGCGCCGCCCGCGCCCGAAGGCGCGCTGTACAGAACCAACCCACCACCCCACCACGCCAGCCCACCACTCCTTCCCACCTCCCTGCCACCCCAGCCACACCCCATCCCATCGCGCGCGCACTTGGAATGCACGCGGTGGCCAGCGGGCCGCCCGCGCCGCGCCCTGCCCACCACCGCGCCCCCCGAACGTGGTTGGTGCGCCAGGGCCAATGGTGCGACGGAAGCGCGAGCAACGCTATTACCGAGCAAGGGGGCAGGCCATGTCGCGCGCGGAATGGCCGCGCGAGGCGGCGAGCGCCCGAACCCGAGGCCCTTAAGCCGACGACGCGTGCCCACCCCGCCTCCCCCCATGGCCACCGCGCCAGCCCCGTCGCGACCTGACCTTACCAAAGCTGCGCGCGAATTGCTGCCGACAGCGCGCGTGAGAAGCGGCGCGCCAAATACCGATCGGCGCCAACAGGCAGCACCCCCCCACCGTGCGCGACGGCATCGCCCTCACCGCCGCCGAAGGCAGGCGAGACACGCGCGCGCACGTCGGCGACACCAGCCGCCACAACTCCGAGACCTGGGTCACGTCGGCGGGCAGAACGCGCAACCATTGCGCGGAGCCCTATCACTCGCATTCGCTGGCGCGCCAGCCTTACCGAGCAGTAGCGCAGACCTGCCAGTTACCGTCAGCCTGCTCAGCCGCCTGACCCTTCTTTCCCGTCAGTCTCCTGGTCATTATCTGGCGTGCTCTCCGTTGCCTTGCCAGTCCCCCCTCAGCCATCCTGCCACGCACGCAAGTGCCAGCTCTGCCGCTGGCAGAGCGCGCGCCCGCTGCAGACGTGCTGGGCAGCAGTGCAAACCTGCCACTTCCCGTCAGCCTGATCGGCCGTCTGGTCCTTCTTCTCCTCGCCAATCTTCTGGTTATTCGCTGGCCTGGTCTTCTTGGTCTTGCCCGCCGTGTCCTTTTTCTTCCCGTGGGTCGTCTGGTCGTTCTATGGCTTGCTCTTCATTGCAGTGTTCTTCTTCGCCTCGGTCTTCTTACCATGCCCGCACGCGTGGCAGATCTGTCGCGAACTGAGCACGAGCGCCGCACCCATGTTGAGCAACACTGCAGATCCGCCACGTCCCGTCAACCTGCTTGGCCGTCTGGTCGTTCTTCTTCCCGCCAGCCTTCTGGTTATTATCTGGCGTGTTCTTCTTTGCGTTGCACCCCTCCGACTTTAATGGCCAGCCCATTGGACGCGACGCGCGAACCCCCTCGCGCAGCTTAACGAACGCGGCCGCCCAACCGCGCCCTGCTGCCGAACGCCTCCACCCCCCGCTAGACCCCGCCACCGCCACGCGCCCGTATGCTCGCGCCGCACAGGCCCGCACCGCCCGCCACCGCCGCCACGCGCACCGCCACCCCCCGAACGCCCAGCGCCACGGAAGCAACCGCTCCTCAATTACACCCCCCCTCCGCCCGCGCCCAACCAACGCCCGCCACGCACGCGCGCGCTCCATGCCGCCCGCGCCGCCCTCGCTTCCGCCCGCGCGCACCGCGGAGTCAAGCGCGACTTGCGGCGCCGCCCATGAAACGACGCGAGCTGTGCGAAGGCGGGCGCAGACCTCATGCGACGACCGTGGAATGCGCGCAGGGCCGCATGCGCGCACAAACCCGAACACTCACAACGCAGGCTGCGACGCACAGACCTGGGCAGCGCGACCGCGACACCACGCGCCGAGCAAGGCTGACTTGGCGAGGATAAGCCAAGAGCGGTTGCGCCACGCGGTCTGGCCACGGCTGCCACGAAGACGGAGCGGACGGCGCTAAGTCGGCCCGTGCGTTGCTCGTGGCGCCGATGACCGACCGCGCAACTGACGCGAATGCGCGCGAAGCTGATGCGGGCGGCGCGCGGGCGGGGCGCCTGGCAAGGCAAACCAGTGCAACACAGGCGAAGCAAGGGCTGCTTTGCGGCGAGCAAGGGGGCGCGCGACAACAATGACAGCGCCGCGTGGGAGCGCGCCGCGGCGCTCATGGGGTCGCGACCGATGGCGTGGATGACGCGCGTGGCCTGCGCAGCATTCACGCGCGGACAGCGGCGAGCGCGGCGCCGACCCCATGGGTAACAAACGATAGACCACGGAGGTGGAGACAAACCGCGCTGGGTCAAACCCCGAGAGGCATGGCCAACCACGTGCCAGAGTGGAGGCGCAATGGCGCCCAGATGTACCGACGAGGCGGCAAGTGCTAGCGTCGGACAATCGCGCTGCACTAAGGCACGAGTGAACCGCGCAGCCGCGCGACCCCTGTCTGGCTCGGGCATGCGCGTCGCAACTTGAACGGCGCAGCAACGTGTTCCCCCGCACAGGCGCAATCAACCACGCCCCGCGCGCATGTGCCAACCGCAGAGCTTCAGCGTTTGGGCGCGACGCTCGGTTGGCCACCCGCGGTGGCCCACGCCAGGACGTCGGCACATGCCAAGCGCACGCTAACAACTTGCGGTGGCGCTCGGGAGCGGCGCGCTCGGCCAGCGCGTTACACGCGCAACCGCGACTGCGGGCCCGAATGCAACGCCGCGTTCACAAACCGTGCTTGGGCGCGCGAAGGGTCGAACGCAACGGCCTCGGCGCGCTAGCGCGCCTGGCCCACGCAGGGCGGCGCGCCTGGCCGCCACCAGAGGGAAGGACAACACGTGCGATGAAACAGCCGCACAGCGCGAATTGGACTTGAATGCGCTTGGGCGCAGCGCTGCTTGACGCGCATCTTAAACTGGGCAGGCTGCGCGCTTCCCCCCGCGGCGTCCACGGCGAGGCGCGGGGCTTGGCCGTGGCGCCCTTTGGCCTCTGCGTTGGCGCCCGCGCATTACGGCGCTGGCCTGGTTACGCGCCGCGTCGCTCTGCGCGGGCTCAACCCCCACTGGCTCGTCGGGCACAGTGGGTACAATCGCGATCCAGAGAGCTCCGCACGCACAACTGCCCGTTGCAACGTCGGCTGGCCGCTTTCGAGCAGCAGCCGCTTGAACTTGGACGCCGCGCGTCGTTCAAGCTGCTTGCTCGCCCGCAAGCAGAGGAGATGATGAAACGAGCGTTGCAACGTAGACTGCCAACGGGCCGACGCCTCGCTCAAATGAGGCAACCGCCATCAGACGCCATCGGCTCGCGGCCGGGCGGCGTTCGCAATAGCCCCTGCGCGCGGAGCTGCGCGTCGGGCTCTGGCGATGCCCCGCGCAAAGGGCACCCTGGGGCAATCCACAAGAGGAGGCTTGCAGCGCCTCGTCGGACGCCCGCAGGCCCCGCTAGAATGAGCCATGGAGGAGGAGAAGGATGGGCATGATGATGAGGGGGAGGAGGGGAAGGGTGATGATGATGAGGATGATGCGTAACGCCTCGCTGTCCGTATGTTCCTCCTGTGTTCGGGCTGGCACTGGCCATCCTCCTCCTCGTTCGTGCCCCCCTCCACCTTTCTTTACCCCTCCCCCACTATGCACGCGGTCCGACGGGACAGGTCGCGTCGGAACGGGGACGAGGGCATCTTAGACAATGCCGAGGGTGGGAAACGCCTGGAGCGACCAATGGCCGCGCGTGGGGGGAGGCAGCGACACGTGCGATGCACCTTCTGCCCTGTCCCCCGCGCCAGACGCTAACCACCCTGGCCATGTCGAAGCAGCCCTGGGTGCGACCCTGTCCCCGCCCCTCAACCCCTTTCCAACTATCAGCTTAGGGGCTTGCTGTATGTCTGCTACGTCGCGGTGGTCATGGGCGGCTCATGGGCGCGCAGAGCGAGCACGAACGGCCCGACTGTAATGTGACATAGCACACCCTACTTACGTGCGAAAGTCCCACGCGAGTGGATCTGAGCGTGAATGGTCTGAGCACGGGCGAGCCTGATCGTGACGATATGAGTGCCAGTTGTGGCAGCACCACGTGAGTACCTGAAGGGGGCCCTCAAGCAACTCAATGAGGCCCCGCGGCATGCCTCAAGGCCATCCCCCAAACAAGCACCAATCCATATTTTAAGAGTGGCGCAAAGAGAAGACAACACCACAACCCAAAGATACCCCCAAGACACCAAGCACGCCCCAAGACACCCCCAGGAGGCCCCAATCTAACCTAAGGAGGGCCCACATGTACCAGGCGGGCCCCACGCTTTTTCTTGTTTTTTTTTCAAGGGTCGCGAAGCGGCTCGCCATCCACATCGCCGTCGTTCTCGACCCGCTCCTTCTCGGCAAGGGCCCTGAACGACGGGTCGCCGCTGGCCAGCGCCTCTCGCCGCGCATCCCTGCGCTCGGCATGGTCGGGCTTCCACGCGTGGACGTGGTCCCATCGCGTGATCCCCGTCTCGTCGGACACGCCGAGCCACGCGCGCATCAGGCCGAGGCATCTGCCTCTCGCCTTGTTGCTCTTCATGTCTCGGCATACCCGCGTGAGGAAGCACCCGGAAGACTCGCCCTGGTGAGACGGCACCAAACACTGCGCAACCATGGCGCGCGTCGTGTCGTAGTAGCGGATGATGCCGCTGCGGTGGCGCACTGTAATCTCAGCAGGCGTCTTGCCAAGATGTTTCGGGCCTGCCGCAACTCCCCCGCCCAGCGCTGCAACTGGGTGCCCCAGCGGCGCCGCAGGCGGCGGCTCGGGGGGCGGCGGCAAGGGCGGCCCGACGAAGACGTCCGCCACCGCCTCCTCGATGTCGGCCGCGGCGTCGTCATGCTCGCCTTCGCCGCCGTGGCCGCCATCGGAGTGAGCATCACCCCGCTCGCCGCCGCCTCCGTCACCATCGGCGTCCAGAGGGTCGCTGCCGTTGCCAGCGGACTCCGTGGTCTCGCCGCCGTCCTTGTCAAGCTCGGACGAAGACTCGGCGCCGTCGTCCTTGCCCTCGGCGGAGCTGTCGGAATCCGAACTCGGCGAGCCCGATGAGCTCGAACTGGAAGACCCGCTCGAGCTGGACATCGCAGGGTCGCTCGCATCGCGATCAGCAAGCGCAACTGCCCTGCCCCTCCCCCTGCCACGCCCGCCGCGCCCGCGGCCCTGGCGCCCAGCGCGGCCCTCTCCTGCAGCGCGCTGCCGTCGGCGAACCTGGATCGGCGGCGGGTCGACCTCGGGTGTCTGGCGGCTGACGTACAGCTTCCATGGCTCCACGTTGGCGACCTGCCTGGGCCGAGATACGAGCTGCCAGAAGCTGATTGTCATACCCACCTCCATCCCCAAACTCCCGATCATCTCCCAAAGAGATCGCCAGAACATCTTCGGATCCTCGGCCTGAATCGGGGATGCCCCCAAGACTTCGCCAAGATCCCTGGAGGGGTCCCTCTCCAGCTCGACCACCGTGGGCGAGAAAGGCTTCTGGAAATCGAAGGCAACGTGGAAAAATCGATGCTCGAATCCGTCGCCGCCAGCACCGCGCTGCACGACGTCGAACGCCAAGCCGTCCGCGGCACCCGCCTCGGCCTCGCAGCGGGCCTTGGCGCTGGTGAAGCGGAGCACGCCATCGCCCCTGGCCAGCAGCGCCTTCGTCGGAGCGCCGCCCTGGCTGCTTCATGCAATCGCAGCTGCGATGCAGCCGCGCAACCCCTGAGCCCCGCAGGGCCCCCCTCACGAACCTCATCGGGAAACCTCTGAGACCCGCAAGGGCCCATACAAACAAGACACATGCACCCGTGGACCCGTTCGAAAGCACAGGGGTGTTGCGCGACAGCATGGTACCCTCCCCACTGAAGGCCTTCAATGGGGGCATTCACACCCACCGAAGGCCTGAGCCCTGAAACGGAAGCCTGCCAGGGATGTGATGGAACCGCTTCGGTGGCCCCTGGGTGTCTTACACACGCGGACGCCGAACCCTTCAAACGGCTGGGTTGCCGACCAAGGCGTCCTAGGGAGATGTGGGGGGCGGGGCCGCAGGACTGCAGGTGGGGGGCGCCCTGGG